TTTTTTTGAGTCAAATAATTCCAAGAGCCCAGTTTTGGTATCACCAGTAGTTCAAAAAATCTTTTCTATCCCGGATTTTCGGCAGAGGTCTAAACAAATTCTCATCAGTTGGTCGTAAAAAAGACTTTACCTTCCACTACTGCGAATACCTTTGTACACCCAGAGTCCTTATCTATAGTGGCGAGATGTTTTGCTCACCGTCCTTTCAGGGCCTGTCTGTTATATTGAAATTATTTTTATTTTTACTTTTTTGTTTCGCCTTTTTTTCTAAATTATCAAGATCTCACACATCTTGTTACAAGTGATAGTCAGGCGTTTTCGTCTCTACAAAGCTCTTCTACCTCGTCTACGTTCTGGAATGCCGAATATACTAATTAACCATCCGACTGCCACCCAAACAACAACAACAGTAACCGACGTGACTCCCTAATTCCCACCTAGCCTACGGCCAGCACTGACCTCATTGTCTGCCCTTAATCTTCCTTATAACGGTATTTCGGTAATGCTGACCACATTGAAGAAGTCTTTTTGTTTTGAATCTTCCGCACCACAGATGATGAGCTGGACAACAATCCCCGTGAATCAGACATCATAGAACAGGCCGCGGAAATGCTCTACGGCCTCATTCACGCTCGCTACATCCTCACAAACAGGGGCATCATGCTGATGGGCGAGAAATGGTTACAGGGTGACTTCGGCTACTGTCCAAGGGTAAGGGTTCCCACTTTTTTTATGTGTTTTTATTATTTATCCTCACGGTGAATCATGCCGATATAAAGTCTAGCCATAAAAGCTTACTACTTAAGAAAATGCATAAGATTTTCCCTTTCCTACTCCTTTGTGCCATTTTAATGAACCTGATTTATAACTTCGTCAGTAAAGGTGACGCAAGGGATTGGTTGGAAGTAAGGATCCGGTGTCAACGATTAGAATCGAAGAGTCATTCTTCAATTTTTTGTTGAACCCGTCCGGTCAATATTCACAGTTGTGCTTGGACGCAATCAGCCGCGCAAATGCACCGCTTTTCCCAACGCACTTGCCTGACAAAATAAATTTTTCTCTGGTCGGAGCAATTTCTATTCGGCTGCTTGAAACGTGCCCATTTGATCCTGGTAGCAATTTATAAGCACCCTAAGTTTCTCTCCTTCCCAGGATTCTCACCTCATGTGGTAATGAGTCGGTTTACAACAATTTTAACCGTTGCGGTGTCTGACGCTGCAGACGGCCTCTCGTTCCAGGATTTTGTTCAGTATCCTGTCAGAACACATGCCTGACTTGGTTGTGCACCAATTTCGCGCCAGATTGTTGTTGTGCTAATTCCTACTCCGGGTAAATTATAATTCAGTCTGGGACACGTGTTGTAAATGTAGCCCAAAGCCCTGATATCACCGTCT